AATCCGAATCAGAACTATGCGAGCTGGCCACGTTCTCCATTTCACCGGGCATCTGCTCGTGAGACTCTGTAACAAGATGGATATCGTCTGTCTCAAACGCAGTATCACAATCTTGATGCGCTTCACGATCCATCAGTCACGAATGCTGTTAAGTGTCTTGGCTTCTCTTTTCACTACCAACCCACGGATCAACACGTCGGCTGGTTGGCGAGTAGCCAAGACACCACGGTATCAACGACAGCTATTGCTATCGGTACCGCTGCTGAACCTGACACCCTTTGCAGAGCCGTCAGATATTTCTACCGACACCCAACTAGGAGCAGTCAGTAGAAAAAGGCAAGAGAAAATAAGAAAACTTGGAAAGTCAAGCGACTGTCAAACTGGCTTTGGCCCCCAAGTTAAAAAAGCGAGTATGTATTGGGTGATGACCCTTGTTTCTTATTAACAGTCACAAGACATACAAGATTTATTATTTTTCTTACCAAAAATATAGCAACAAGTAGAAATAACAGAGTAATAGAATAGCAGCAATGTACAGCGAACTTCAGAAGTTTGAGTATCAGTGGCAGGTAGACGAAAACGTGGCGACGGCAGCTCGGGAGTTGCAGGAGCGGACGATGGGGTCAAACGGCAGCTTGTTGACTCGGAAGACTCGAGACGAAGACTCTGACTTTCGAAATCCGACGGCCCCTTATATAGGCCGCTTTCGCGCCCATATCGACGAGTGACTGTTTTGGCGCCCTCCTCGCGCTCTCCTCGATCCTCTCGCGCTTGATCACAATTTGACATTGTCCCAAACAAAATGAGGTGATCAGGCTCATTTTCTCGAGAAGGCCTCAACAGGGCCGGAAAAGGGGACTCACCTGCTCCTCGGTCGAGACTCGCTGCTACCAGTAATAGGTGCGAGCTTACCGCTCGCGAATCCCCGTGTGTTGCCTTCAATACAGTCACTAGCTTATCATGTTTATTAGAATAGGGAATAGAATCAATTATTAGAATTAGAATAATAGAATAATAATAGAATTGGAATAATAGAATAATTATAGAATCAATTATTAGAATAGAATCAAGGCGATCAAGGTGGAATAGATTCGGCGTAGTTGATGTAGTTGATGACGGACCCATTGGTCGGCAGCGTGGCAGGAAGTCGGCGAGCCCAGAGGCGACGCGAGGGCAGGCAGAAGCGGTCGTCGGTTGGCATCCAGCAGATCTCT